ACCAATCGACTGCTAATGAACTCCGATCTAAATTGATTTCACAAAAAATCGGCTTCGATTTAAATTTAATGAAAGTCATTTGCACTTCTGATGCTTTGCATTTACATTTATTAAGAGCTATCGTGCAAACTTATCTATGGATAAATTCCGATCAAACTCAAATTACAACTATTGATTACAATTTATTTGGATATGAAGAAAGAAATGGAAACCTGTATCCACGACAAATTACCAAGCCATCGTTACCAGAGTCTTTGATTTAGCCCTGTAAATGTGCATCGCATGGCCGCACCATGGCTTGTCATTGCAAAAAACATAATTTAACTTGTATTTCATTGTGCGAGTGTGTAAGTAATGACTGTCAAAATATGCATCATTGATTATTCGCACTACTTTCAAGTACGTATCTTTATAACTATTTTTGCTGATAAAATAAATTTCTTGGTGACAATTTATAATTTTAAATAATTAATTTCCGTTTTAGTTTCATTGGACAATCAACTATTACTTTTAATTAATAAAAAAATCCAATAGTCATCATTAAAATAATTATTAAAATAGCGTCATAATATATGAATAGTAACTATAAAAATATAAATCATCAATTATTATTTGTATTATTATTTCAAGTGTGTATGTATCAATATATATATTGGATTTTTTTCAATACATAATTTTTTATTAGTAATTAATGTTTTCTTTTTATGTTTTAATTTCGTTTGACAACAAATTATTGTTTCATTTTAAAAAAGAATGATTGTAAAAACGTAAATCCCTGATTATTTATGATTTTTTTAAGTATGTGTCTTTATATTTGATTTTTATGATTAAATAAATTTTTTATAAACAATTTATGACTATTTTATAAATAATTGCTGTTTTATAATCATTTGGCAACTTATTATTATATGTGTTTAGTAAAAAAAAATAAAAAAATATTACTAAATTAACTATTAAACTAGACCCATAGCACGCGCTCGCTATGGTAATGCGCTACGGGGTGGGAGGGGAATCAAAAATTAATTGGACCAATAAAATGTCTGGCAACATCCGGATTATTAATCTACAAGCTTTTCTGAACTCAAATCAATTGCCAAAATGCGGACCTCACAATTTGCAAACTCAATTCCATCCAGCGCCTGCACTATCCACCATATTTTTAATGCTTCCTATTCATCCGGCGTTTTTCCTGATTACTGGAAATTAAGTTATTTAACGCCAATTCATAAAAATAGTGACATAAGCAATATTAGTGACTATTGAGGTATATGCATACAATCTGTCATTCCCAAATTTTTTTGATAAAGTATTCTGTCAGCATTTTTCTTGGTACTGTAAAAAAATTGTGTGTGACAACCAGCACGGGTTTTCTAGGGGTAGGTCTACTGTGACTAACCTGCTGACTTATCAGCTGGATCTATTGGGTGCTTTTGAGAAGTCTAAACAAGTGGACAGTGTCTACACGGACTTTCCGACGGCGTTTGAGAGAGTTAGTCATGAGCATCTTGTTCGTAAGTTTCGGGCCATGGGACTGGCTGGTACTCTGGTTGAATTTTATCACAGCTTTTTGACAGGGCGTATATTTCCAGCGAAATTGTGGTGCACTCGGGTGTGCCTCAGGGTTCACACATAGATCCAGTTTTCTTTAATTTGTTTATAAGGGATCTGTGGTTCTTTATTCTGGACATCTTGCCTTTGCAGATGATTTTAAATTTTACAAAACAATTGAATCATTTATGGACGCTCAGCTTCTTCAGAGTGACCTTAATAATGTCATTTCGTGGTGCAGAGAAAATGCTCTTGATGTAAATGTTGGAAAGTGTTTTTCTCGCTTAACTAACACCCTTCAAAATAGATATATTATTAACAAGACTACGATAGAGTGTGTCACCAAAGTTAGGGACCTTGGAGTCATCTTTGACAGTAAACTGACCTTTTTGGATCAGTTGGAGGGTATTGTTAACAAGGGCATGAGAGGTCTGGGTTTTATTACCCGTAATAGTACACTGCTCTCATCTGACTGTTAGTTAGATCTACACTGTAGTGTGGTATCCACACACAGATGTCACATTGATAGATTGGATACTGTTCAGAGGACATTTCTGAGGTCCCTAGCATATAGAGCGGGTATAAATATCTACAATAACTTTGACATTAATTATGTTCTGGTATGTGAACCTTTTGGGATAGATAGCCTGGAAATTAGAAGAACCTACTCCGATATCTTGACGTTTTATAAAATTTTGAACGGTGTATATAACTGTCCGGCTCTCCTCCAGTCCATTTATTATTTTATTTAGAGCTCCCGAATGTTTTGTATTCCATTTCATTGCGCCAGCTATGGTTATTTTTCTCCTTTAATTCGAACCTTGAGGTTATTTAACAGTTGCTCTCTCGATCCCTTTGTTGGCGGTCTTCGACTATTTAAGACAAAATTAAAACAGGTGGTTGATTGTAGTTGTAACTAGTGTGATATTGTTTGTTTACTGTTAATTACTGTTTTTGTATGTTTTACATGGTTATTTAGAAAGCTTATTATGTAAGTTGTTGTTTTGTCATGTTGCTATTTATATTATGTTTATGTTGTTACTTTTTCTTTGTAAATTGGCTCAGCCGTTGAAATAAATAAATATTTCAAGATTGGTTTATTTATTTATTTGAATAACTTAATTGCACTTTGTATATAAAAATGTTTTTTTTTAAATATATTTTTTATTTCACAGACGAGTTGTTTTACAAAAAAAATTGGGAAATTAGTTGTTGGCCTTTCAAATGTATAACAGACTATTAACAAGATATTGTTGAACATTCATTTGAACAGAACACTGAATTTAAGAAAATATGTATATGTTGTTGGTAGCTTTATGCCCAGTTCCTCGCACAAATTCATTGAGTGGAATGGTCAAAAGGTTCCTTTTAACCACTTATTTCAACTTTCTGTGTGTAATGTAAAAATAGTCTTCACCACTGATGCCCGCGCTATCCTATGTTCCAATAGATCTGCTAGAGGTCTAATCTAATGATAATGCAAGAACTTATAAAGCAACTATGAAACAAAGTTTGAGAAGCACAGCATGCGCATGTTCGAGGTTTAAAATCTCGTTTTGCAGAAAAGTGCAGGTTACTGGGAGAAATGTGAAATTCTCATGTCTACTGAAATATCGCTGAATTCTTGTAGTATTGTGAGGTCGATTGAAAATACTAGTTAACTAGCAATTACAATCGACTACAATGATGATGAGACTTATTTTTGTCTGAAAATTTAATGGAATCTAGACATAGTTTGAATAAATCCTATTGTCGTTAAAATGCTGCATTCAAACTTATTTTTTCTACTCCTGTCTGTAAAATGAGAACCTTACATACTTACATACATCATAGCCTCACTTTACCACGTGACTTTCTTGTCCCACAGATCCAGCCCCTTCGGACATTTCCGGAATTTTACTGCACCGCTTGAATATTAACTTTTATCTATTCTGACGGTTACGCCAGTGAATGTATTCGTGTCGTTTTACAAAAATATACTCAAAAACTAACACACTTATTGCATAAAATAAGATTAAAAATCAGGTATTGAATTTTAAGAAAAATACTTGCACACGTCCTCCAGCATAACTTTCTCTTGCACATTTTTTGCACTAAATTAACTAAATTAAATTTCAAGCATAATTCATGTAGCATACTTTATACCTATTTCTCACGTTTTATGAGCAAAAACAAGAATTTAATTTTAAAATGAACGTTTCTGTGAGTGAAGAAAGTGAATATGGCTCATCTAAATGAAACCCAGATAATTGAATTTTTGTATTTTTATTGGATATGTTTTGATATACTCTCAATTTTACCCGCTGCGGCTCTTGTAATGGATATTTTGCGTTAAATAAATTACATACTTCTTTCTTGAGTTCTCGTTTTCTCTCCTTATACAATAAAAACAAAAATTTCGATTCCCGGAGTTTCTTTTAGATGCTGACAGAAATGTAGTTGTGATGAATGAACTTTACTGGTACTAGCTACTCATCTGTTCATTTCAAAATTAAATGTTGATTTTCATTTTGAATAAATAATGTGTGAAATCTGACGCAGAATTCGAAAACGAAACGAAAAATGAAAAACCAAAAGAAAACATTTTGACCCACACTGTATATTTTTATTTACTAAAAAAATGCACAGCAAACAATTATTATAGAAGTGTGAGAGCATTTTTGCCATTCACTGCATATTTATGCTCACATTTGAGGCACATAATAGACAAACAACCGGAAAGATAACTCTTGGCTTAGGTGGGAAACTTTGCCTAATCTAAAAGGTAAGACCTCCTGATGCAGGGCCGTGCGCCAATGAATTCGTATTAAGTGGATGTTCGTATGTGCATGTGTTGTCTCATTTTATCCTTAATGAAAGAGCTTTTCAAAAAATGTCAATCTTAAAAATCGGTGCTGGTTCAGTTTGTCTTTAATGCGGCTCTGCGTTCATCTTTATAGAAACGAAGCACCGATTTGTGAAACGTCACGAATTTTCGAGAGTTACTGGTTCTGTTGTTTGATTATTTCGTGCTGCAGATTTGACCTACTTAATTTCTTCAGACCAAGCAAACTCGGTTTAACCCTATACCCTATACCTTATCATTGATAGATAGGCCCTAATTCTAACTCCTGTCTAAGCACCTTTTTTAACCATAGAAACAAATCTACTCTTTGATCATAGATTGAAAATGTTTCCATGCACTGTTTATCTTTGATCCCATATGATGGAAGGATTGTTGCCAGCATGTCGATTAATACGTTTTGACTAACTCAACTCGAGATAACAAACCTATTTTTAAATTATTGAACAATAATATGTTTTATAATTAAAATATTTAGTTAATGAGAATCTAATAAAGATGTAAACTCCGGATGTAAAATTAATCATAGCCATATAAGTTTCTCACAATGATGTTTACGAAGTACCGGCAACACAGCGAAACACTGACTTATAATAATAAATAATTTCTATAAATGTTTTACGTTTCAACGTTTCTTTCCTAATTAGTATAGTCGCGTTGTTTTGGTTTGTGTTGTGTTTTGAATAACATTTTATGGAACCTTGACGCTGTGTCTTGTTGAACTAAAAATGACGAATAGTTGTTTATTTTTATTTTATCTATTCTATTTTTTTAATATCTTTTGTTGACTGGTATTGTTAAGGCGAACTGAATTTTTACATTTTGCGATATGGCCAAAAGGCTTACAGAAGAAATGGTTATTGCCAGAACCAAATTCTCAGATCTTTCAAAAGTCAAGAGATTAAATTGTTGGTATGTGCTCTTGAATTCAGTTTGTCAACATTTTGCAATTGAGATGATGTTATTGTGTGTATTTGTAGGGGAAGTGAACTAGTTGATATCTCCTTATTACGAAAAATCCCAAATGTTGAAGTTCTATCTCTAAGGTAAGTGTTCTTTCTTTCTTATTGTTTGATTAACTTTGGACTTGTATCTAAATGTGTATAATAGTAATAATAATAATAATAATAATATAGTAGTTTATTAATGTCAACGTAGAGAATATTTGTACAATATCCTTTAATTTAAAAAAAAAAATTAAAGTAAAGCTTTAAAATAAGAAGACATCTCAAAAGTATTGTCTGAAGAAACATTTAACAATGTAGGACAACTACATTCAGAAATTCTCTAATACTATAGTATCCTTTATTGAGTAGAAAGTTTTTGACTCTAATGGTAAAGGCCAGAGGCAACTTCCATCAACAGAGGGCAGTTTATTCAAAGTCGAAGTTAAATTTATTAAATTCTGAAGCCCAGAAAGTTTTGTAACATCTTCAAATTTCAGATTTTTCCTGTTGATGCGACCACATATAGATTTATTTTTAACCAGCTCTGTATAACTCGCCATACATTTGTGAAAAAAAGATTTCAATCACATTAGATACCAGTAAAATTGGCAGTTGCATTTGAAAATTTTCCTGCGATTTTGGAAGATCAATTTTTCATTTGGTTTTAGGGTATATTTTTTGAATTATTCATCCTAAACACTTAAAATCCGATTGAATTTGGTTTTTCAAAAATAATAATAAATTTTACTGGCTCTGTATATAGTAAATAAACGGATGAAGTTTACGCTTACAAAGTTTAAGTTTTTTACTCTTAATGTAATTATTATAACTGGTTTCGAGGGTGGGGGGTGGTGTTTATATTAAATATTAACGATACCGAAATGCTTATCCAAATATCATTGCGAATATTATGGACCGCCCAGGAAAAACAAACTTTAAATGATACTGCACGTTATGGTTGACATTATTGATTATAGGAATTTTATATTTTTAAATGTATATTTATTGAATTTAGTTCGTCATCACTTATGCAGAATCAATAAATAGGATCTTGCTAAATTATTAATTCAAATATCTCAGTGATTAAAATAAATATAAGTAAATTTTTCTTTTGACCTGCATTTTGCATAAAAAATAATTTCTGCATCTGTCTAGAAGAGTACGGGGAAAAGGCACAGAATTTATTTGGAAGTTGTACTTTATTTTTCACTTAATTATTCGGATATATACATATACATTACATGAATTTCTTTTCCGTTTTTCACTTTTTCCGTTGACGGCGATGGTGTGTAAAACAGATAATCGGCTATTCTCGCCTCAAAATTCATTGGCCATGAAACCAGCATTGGTCGTAGATAAGAAGTGAAACTCCGTCCATCGTGAGAGATTGCAATTTGCGGCAGAACGTAATTAGGGTTAATAATATAATTGCTGAACGTTTCGCTTTAACATTTATTAATTTTATTTTTTGTGGCGCATGCAGTCGTCCATAAGTGTTTCAGATTAATTCTGAAGTTGCACAGATTACAATGCAACCTCTATAATTCGATGACAATGTCATAGTCCGCACCTTTATCGGCGATTTAATACTAATACTAATTTAACTGGGGGCTTGCGTAGACATGTTTGTTAAAGTCTTACATTTTTTGTCTAGACAAAAAGAATATAATGTGTAAAAGAAGACGTGCAAATTAAGATAAAACTTTAAAATTTTAAAAATGATAATAAATCGGGGTGCAAGTGATTCAAAAATAGCATCGAAATAAGATCTTTCAAAACTGCAGTGAACGAAGAAAGAGCAAATCTTAGACTCTTAAACTGATGCATGAATGTGAGACCCATCCATACACAGGGTGGCCCAATAGTGAGTTGCCAATTGATATTTTGAGAACGGCTAAGGATAGATATTAAAATTAAATTGGTTATGTATGTATGCGTTGCAAAACCTACAATTATTTTTACAGAATGTCCTATAAATGCATAGAAAAATAAGGTTAGGCGCGTTTTTTCTTATGTTTCTTTATACCCGAAATTTGCCATTAAATGGCAGACATACGAGATAGCAGAATATTGAGGATCGATCAGTGTGAGTATATATGCAGAAACACTTAAATCTTGTCGTTGCGAGAGTTATTTATATCTATAATGGTGAAATATTTATAAAGCCATTGCTAGAACTAAGAACTCTAATCCAGTTTTCCAAAAAATATAAAAAATTCATACAATTTACAAATTTACAAATTTACAAAAAATTATCTTATATCTTTATTAATTATTATCTTTATTTAATTAATTTTAAAAATGTTTAGCAAAGTGTAAGTATAAAATTTGTATTAATTTTGGGTTATTGTAAAAGTTTTTGTGCAACTTTGTAATAAAGATGTATATGAACAAATAAAGGATATTCTTAAATTATTTTTTCCAGTTTGTGGTTACGGTGTGAATAATAGTAATATTATGTTATGTTACTTACAGTATGTTATGTTGCTGATAGTATTATTTACCAGCAGTATACATATTTCCTTTTGCCTTGGCCTAATATTTTGATTTAACATAGGTTTAAAATATCCGCGAGACCAATGCTGACTCCACTGTTTAATAAAAGTTGAAATGAAACGTTAACCTCAGTTTAATAAGAATTTCACATAGAATTTGAATATCGGCAAAAAATTGGGGGTTTCTATTAAAAATTGTGTAACGAAAAAATCCTGAGTCTGTTAATTAGTTGGAACAACAAATCCTCATTTGAATGAGCGTTATGATCATTTCCATATACATAACGAAAAATGAGTCACAGGTGGGCGCACTGGCTCGCCCTACAAGGAAAAGATTATTAATAAACAGAATCCCAAGGTCAGTTGCGGCAACGTGTTTGGGTCATCTGTTTTTTTTTTGTTTTTATGTGTGCACCCCATATTTACTAGTCTTTGTCCAAGCTTATCAATAAAATTATTCTCAAACTCGAACAATCGATGATGAGATAGTTAAAGCAACAAAATGTGCTAATGATTGAGAATCTCAATTAATTTCGATCATACTTTTAAGCATAATGCAACAGATAGAAGGCTGTGTGCAAAAAGCGGCCTAAAAATAATAATTATTGTGTTTAGCCGTCGTCACTTGAGCAAAAACCTGAAGTTATTTGCCAGTAAGTCTCAGAAGTGGTTTTCTTCTCGATTTATACTGACTCTGTAATTGGCAAGAAACTTTAATTGTTTTGTGTTGATTATGTGTGAAATCCTAAAACAATAGACTATTGTGTAATACGCGATTCCAAAAACCATGAAAAAGTTAGAGGGGAATGGTTTATTTATTGTGTACCGGAGATGTTTTTATAAACTAATAGATTGGCATACATTTTTTTTCTCATTCTTGTCAGTGCTTGGTAATGTAATTTCAAAACCCCACATTTTATAATACACACGGAGTCCCGAAGATGAGCATAATGATAAAACTTCATATTTTCAGTAGAGCGCCATGTGGTTATTATACCTTTGAATTGGCGAACAACTAACCGACAATATTTATTTAACTTCTCAATTTTTTTTTCAGTTTGGTCCATCGATATTATTATTATAAAAATCAATTCAACAATATTTTTTACTTAAAAAAGGTTGAAATCGAATAATAGTACAAGTTTAAAGAAAATAATTACCGGTATCCCAGTACAAATAAATATGAGCACTAAAAGATAATAAATATTTTATATGCCTAGTTTTCTTCTTTTGATTTTTTTCATTGGACGTTTCAAAGTTTTCTCAAAAATGGTTACCTTTAAATACTTGTAAACAAAGTACCTTTATTGACGTAAGAAATGTTGGAGAATTGTTTTTTTTTATATCCAAATCAATGCACCACATTCGAGTTCGATGTGCCCTAGGTGACTATACAAATCGAAAAGTAAACTAAAATTTTGATATCCTTTATCTTGAAACTCAAGCACTTTAAAGTTACACGTTGATATCTTTTTATAAAATGACATGTCTACCTATCTCTCAAGTAGCAGTCGAGCTTTGGCGGTCTAATATCCGGACACCTTGTATGATATATTAGAAAAAGTTTCAAATCATTCCCTTGCGGTGCATACTTCCATTATAATCTTTATTTTTTCTATTTTTGTCTAGAAGAAACTAATAGTCGTCGTTATTCCATATATTATAACAATAAAATGATATCGCATTGGCGTTGAAAAAACTGTGCTGTTGTAATATTTGTTTTGTTTTTTGTTCGTAAGTTCTTGAAGGAATTCCAGTTTACCCACGCGCTGTTCAAACTTTTATGTAGGTAAACATGTCTATAGAACTCGAACTTTACTGCCTAGGTAGGTACATGAATTCATATTCAATCATTGATTTGGGCTTGTGATTAGAAAGCAAGAAAATACAGTTGCGTTTGTTACATTATTTGTACTATATGTAGACTCTGTGGACAACTCTCTACCTGCGGTTTTATACTTGAAAACAGAAACTGTTCTAAAAGGCTTTTGTTTTTATTTAGATTTTTATCTTTTAAAAAGTTTTAAAATGGCGTAGTTTACATTTTTTGCAAACTTATTTCAGCATAAATAAAATTAATAGCTTGAGCGACTTTCAATTTTGTAAGAGACTGGAAGAACTGTACATCAGACAGAACGATATAAGGGATATTAATGAAGTTGTCTACCTCCAAAATTTGCCAAACTTAAAAAACCTCTGGCTGGGAGAGAATCCATGCTCAAATATTGAAGGGTAAGTGTTTAGAATTTAGGGGAGAGAAAAGTGTAACAAGTCTCAATTACTTCTTTTTGTATACAATTATTATAGATATCGATTGGCGGTGATCAAAACTCTACCGCAACTACAAAAGCTCGACAATGTCGCCATTACTCAGGAAGAACTCAGAGATGCTCAAAAACGTGGTAAGACTCTAACCCATCCTGAAGATGTTCAAGACGAATCCGAAGAGGAATATGCACCACCTTCTTCACCTCAACAGTACACGCGCTACCAAGAATATTCAGAGCCTGAGTATAGCCCCGTTCAAAGGAGTCCACCAAGGCCAGAGGTTATCATTTTTATTTTCGAATTTAAACTGAATTATTATTGAATATAAAAAATAGATCTGCAGATAAAAAGCTAACTAGATTGTGCTCAAATTATGCCCGTTTATGCATTTTGGTTTTGTTTCTCTACTTTACTGGTGTATTATGGTTTTAATCTTTAGTTTTCAAGCAACGTAATCGAGAAAAAAAAAACTGCCATCTTAATTCCAAACTCAAATACCACTACCACTCTACTACTAAAGAATCAGCATACATAATATGTAGTTATATTACAAATGTTCAGGGGTCCACGTTTCTGACTTTTGCTACAGTTAGAAGATTGCGATTTTCGCAATCCCGTTCCAATTTTTTGATGCCACATGACAGCTTAACAACTTCGTATTGTGATTCGCAATTTTAAAACACTTTTACCCTTACTTAATCGATATTTTACCATATTGGTTTAGTGACTTATTCGAAGTAAATAACCAAAATTGCAAAAAAGTCAGTGGCATAGATTACTTTGGCAATATTACGTTAAAAAGACTACCGAGACCGTACTGAACGTTACAATTTACTTCTAATTAAAGCAAAATTAGTTCATTTCAATGTCAATAAAGTCGGACAAGAAATATTTAACATATTGTAAAGACAAATTGTTTTGGATGACAAATTTGCGTAGAACTCAGTGCCAATTTCAGAATAAGTGTAAACTAAACTACTCTACTTTATTTTTAAATGGAACACCCTGTATGTTATTTTAAAATTAGAGTAGTAATTTGTATAGAGTATCGCTCAGGTATAAAAATGGGATTGGGATTTACGACGTGTCCGTCGAATCGAACAGTTTGATCTTATTGGAATAATAGGACATGAAAAGTATAACTTATTTGTTATTATGCGGTGGTAGTATGGATATGGCTAATCTATGGAATACAGTATGGTAGATTTTAAAGAGTTATACAATCTGGATTACATTTAAATTGTAAAATTTATAAATCCTACACTTTTTGTGGTTTTACGACGTATCTCATAATTTGTCCCTTATGAATAAAGCTAGTGCGTTGCGGCATTCGTAACCCAAGGCTGCTTCTTTATTAAATCAAAAGTAGCCCAAACAGAAATGTCAAATGTAATTAAAAAAAAAGATATATGCTTTGTATTTAAAATACCTCTTATATGGTTATTTATTTTTGAAAAGCTAATAATGAGCATAATGAAATTATTAAAAGTCATATAGGACGTTCCATTAGCATAACTGAGTGCGGCACTGGTTCCTACATACAAAACTAGTCACATCAGTTTTCACCCTTTCGATAAAATAAAACGGACCTCTAAACTGTGTAAAAATTAAAAATTTCCAAAATCATCCTGTATCTAAAAATCCAAGATATCCGTAACGTTTCACTTAACGGAAAAGTAGCTTTGGTTCACGAGATCCGTAACACACTAGTTCTATTAATAAGGGAAATATGTCGTTAAGACAATCAAAAATGGGACGCACTGTGTTTTTTTGAGGTTAGCCTAAATGCTGGGAGATACAAAAAACTGAGATATGCGTCCCGTTCTCCTTTTTAGTGTTTTGTCTAATAGCATAAATTGGTTTCGGTAACTTAATATCTTTAAATATAACTAACTACTCGGGACGATCGCTGCCTTTTTTAAAAAACTTTATTTGAATTTACAACCGTTTAAAATTGTCTGTTACAATAACATATCTAGACAGAACTCTCCGTCGACACCGTTAAACTACGTTTTTATATGTAGAAATAGGACTCTGCTGGGTCAGCATTCTTAGATCTTCGCTAGTGAGATAACTATATACAATACAATACAAAACATTTATGAATTTTTACGTAGAATTAAAGTGGCGTACTTAAAAAACCAATATTTTCTTCTAAGTACCTGAAAGAATGGTATTTTTTCGTGGGATTGCAATAATATATAACTCTTACAACAATATTTTGCTTCGTACTAAATGACTTAAATACCGGAAAACAAATTCTTTTAGTCGACCGTGAATACAAGCATTAATCCTTTGTTCTACAAAAGGATTCATTTAAGAAAATGTAAATTTCGATAATATCTCGAAAATTAAGGAATCAATATTTCTCTTAAATACGCCACTAGGTTCTGCGTAAAAATTCATAGAACTTTGTATTCAAAGCCTTGAAATGAAATATCATACCTTTAATTTTACTTATTCATGTGCACTCTGTACGCTTTAAACATTAAAATGTGTGTGACAGTAAGATCGTACCAATATAACATAAACCTTAACTTGTGCATTAACAACATGAAAAACACAAACAGTCTGTCAATTTGGTTCTAGTGTTTCTGGGAAATTTTACAAAATTAAATAACCAACTCTCTAGGATATTGTCGGTTACCTACTAGTGTTTTAATTATTGCTTACACCTTTCCTCTGTTGACTCGTTTATCGTTTTTTCTAATGCACTTTGTGAGCATTCTGAGAATAATTTGAGTTACATTGCACATGAGCTAACAACAACAAAAATAACTCTTTACTCACATAGACAGAATATGAACCTGAAGATAGTGAAGACCAATACACTAGAGAAGACGCATCAGAAGAAAGTAGGGGGTGCTCACCACCTCAGCAAGTAAGTACCTACATTATTATATTGGTAGCGTGTTTGTGATGCTAATTTTTGAATTTTTAATGCGAGTGTTATATTTGTTTGAGGAATTTATATCCCATACTTTAAAGGATACATGGAATCTGTCAGACATTTTGCTCATAATATTTAAAATGTTTCTTCAGAAAGGAACTGTTTTTGTTTAAGTAACTATCTATGATTTAGACCTATACAGATAAAATCATACAATTCTTCACATTTTGTTTAACATACCAGGTATAATACTCATAAAAAAAAAAGTAGTATAAATTTGGAATGTTCTATGATGGGGTGCCAAACATAAAGCACCTTAAGTCAAATAATTCAATCATCTCATAAAATGAAGTTTCTATTTTTTTAGCAAAGTCCATCAAGACGAAATGATCAAGTGAGACGAACTTACAGTCCCGAACAAATGTATGACAGGAGAAGGAACAGTTACGATAGGGAATCTCCAAGGCAACAATCTCAGTATTATGATGTTAGTTCCATTATAAAAGTCAAAAAATTAAATTTAAAGCAAAGTTCCTATATATTTATATTATTATTTTGTATCTATAGGTGGTTGGTTATGCCTTATTATTTCCAAACTATATATTTTTTGTAATATTCAATTATTAATGTTATCATGGTTGGGCTAATGCATCATATATTCATTAACAGAAGTCTTCATCAACTAACCATTCATTTGAAGAAAACCAATCATGTGATAGTTCATGTACTTATAGAGAAGCAAAAATTGTTACAAGCCAATCTGCAAGTTGTATAAAGGTGGGTATATGAATGTGTAAACTAGCATTTTATCCATGCAGATCAATAGAGAAATTGTTTCATAAACATTTTGTAAAACTATTTTATAAATGTTTACAGTTATAGAGCAAGATGAAACAATGTAATTGTGCAGACTCATTTTTATAAAATTTTCCACCTCTCTGCCATTTCTTTAAAATTTGAATGTTTATGGCAACTAAGAAAAAAATGGTTTTTTCATGTTTTTATTGGTATATTAGATTTGATGCCAAGATTTTAGTTTCCTGAGTTTTTTTTTACGTTAATATTTTATTGCAAAATAATGTTAACCCTGTTCCTAGTAGGGTTATTTTTAAAATAAATCATACAGGTATAATAAATTTTGGGTCAAGTATTAAAATATTTGTGGTCTCAAATTCTCAAACCTTAAATACTTGTGTACTTTTGTGTAGGAATACGCCAATGGCGACCGATATATTCAATCTCAGCAGATCTACCGAAATGAAGGCAGTGAAGTTTCTTCACATCAAGGCCAGGAGAAACGATATACCTGCCCCGCAGCAGCGCACCGACCTCCATTTGCTAGAAGACCAGTTACTAGGGTATAAAGATCGCGATTGCTTGGACTTTGCAGAAACAAAATATATTTATTTATATGATTTCAGAACTCCAATATCCTTTCAGCAGTATTATGCTTAGTGAAGGAACTGGATTATCCCAGTTTGGAAGTTGTTGAAATGGCAGTCAGGTGTCGAATGGATGAACTGGATGAATGACCATCAAAAGTAACAGACCTGCACAAACGTACCAGCGAGCTTTAAATCAATTGGTCTGAAACATTAAGTAAATCATATTATTTCATGTAATATCACCGATAGCATACATTAACCAAATGTGGACCTTGATAAACTTATTTAGACGAGTTTTTGCATAAATCAAGATGTTCTTGAACATTTGTACACTTTATATATTAATATTAATGTTATATCTTTATAAAATTTTGTTTATTTAATTATTAATATTTTATTATGTAGTATCACCTCTGATTATTATTCCGGCAAAAATATTGTTTCCAATTTTTTATTAAAAACACCTTTTTACTCTTTATTATTCTGTGTTTCCTATTCTAATATTTACAGTTGATACTTATAGTGTGATAAGCTTGATAAGTTTGTTTTAACTGCTAAGGATCATTTTGAGGTGTTCAACTTATTTATAGGAACAAACATTCCAACAAACTGTATATGCATATACAATCTTTACTTAGCTTTAATTAAATGTTAAGTCGCATAGAGAGGCTCTATTTATTCACTCCAATTGCAATGTTCCTATCCCCAACAATCTGATAAGTACAGATTTTTATGCAATCAAGTTTGATAAACGCCACCACTTTTGGCAGGAACAGAAGGAGTTCTTAATAAACGATCGAGTAAACTTTTTCTAGAATTAGTTTTTAGCAAACCAATACATACACAATACATTATTAATGAACGTCAAAATGCTATGATTGAAATCTAGCGAAAATATCCGGTCGCTAATATGTTTAACCGGACAGGAATGGCCGGTGGTACATGTTCAGGTTTTCCGACAACGTCCTGGACTGTCTCGAACTTTTCAATATAATTATATTTTATCTCCCAGAAAATTTATAAATATCGGCAACCCCGCAATTCCACATTACTCGGAAATTCAACCGGCAATAAAAACTGTTTTATTGTGAAATGAAATATGAATAAATGAAGATTGATTGATTGATTGAATGTTTTAGAATAGGGAGTAGAAAAATAATATTTGTTCCATATTCTCTTTTTTGCGACATCATCCTCATACCAGATTAGTTTCCTTCGTCAAATCTTCAAAAGCTCATAATTTTGAAAGTTGGATGCTTCGGATGTCTTAATTCTGGGATTCTTTCATTTAATCTGAACTAATAAGCACTAACCATAATTTATGTGAAAATATGCTTCTATATTTTGATAACATATAAACGGATGTAATTATTTGAGAGTGGGCGGCGAAACGTTACTGGAGCACCACGTAGTCCAACTTTCAAACGGACATCTTTTTAACAACGGAACGCAACCTGCTTGATGTCACTGTTACTTTGAAAAGTTTTCGATTCTGTTCTCTGATTCATTGATATTCTGTAGCAGTATTTCGTTGTTTTTATTTTGGTTTATTTTTGTTGTAATTTAAATTTTATTTTGTTTTTTTTTTGAGTGGGTATTTTTTAATGCAAAGATATGTAATTATTCATCACGTGTCTTAATTTCAAGTTTGACCCAGGTCTTGTGGAAGCCATGCCCAAAGCTTTGAAGAAAGAGCCACTTCTACCGGCTAATAATGTGATTGACGACAATAAACATTTTATTAAAAAGGAAAAAGTGATTCAAAAAGACCCTTTAAAACGGAAGTATGTTTCCTAAAGGGATACCGCCTACTAATAAAAATTTGTGTATCATTTTATTTATCATAAAGAAATTAAGGATATATCCACATTACTTTTTTTAAGGTTCATAAAATTGGAGAACGATGCTGACAGTAGTTCCGATAATGTGCAGGCAGATTTATTATCCAATAGGACTCCGCCTGATTCACAAGAAAATAAAGTGAAGTCATGTCATGACACAAAGGTTATGAAAATGTATGAATGTTATGATTGTGGTTACAGATCAGCTTTTAAAGGTTGTTTAAAACAACATGTGTTAACCCACAAAAATGTTAAAAAATCTCGTAAAACAAAAGATTATTCAAAATTGTTATTTAAATGTACTTTGTGCAACTATGTAACCAATAACAGTGTAAATTTGAGTTCACATGAAGTTATTCATAAACCAGATAAAGTATGCTGGAATGTTACTTGCGATATTTGGTGACCAAGTATGCAAGGGGATAATGTTAATATACCCACTTTTTATTGTTAAATTTACTCTGAAGTTCTAACACAGTTATTTCTAATTCGTGTAGATTGTAATTTATTATTTGTGATGTTTCTACTGAAGTTGCTAATTGACTAGAAACAAAATTGTGACATTTTATTGTAATTATAAAGTGAATTACTTAAGCAGATCGTTTTGTTTCTTTACTTAGGGATGGTACCCCGAAACTCTACTGACACAAGACAAGGATTGTCACTGACATAGATATTTTTAATTGAGTCTGGTGTTATTTGCTAATAACTCATATATTTTTCTTTGGGATATGGCAATTCTCCAAAAATAGTAATAAACATTTTAAATAAAGCGTTTTTAACAGTTAAAGTGGTTTGGTTATGGTTAATTGATTTAGGCCACTCTTTTTTCTTATTATTGTGTAAGTTTAGCATGAAGCAAACTAATAAAAGAGAAAGTAAATGCCAATGGATTTAAAGTGAAACATAAATTTATTTTTCACAGCATTAATACTTTTACAACAAATCAATAATTATAATTAACTATTGATGAAGACCAGTTAATGCCTTTTGTCTACTGTTTTTGCATTTTCTTTGATAATTTTGGATTTAAGATGTTCTTTGTAAGAAAGAATATCACCTTTCCATTTTGTAACTGCTCCCTTCTCACATACCCAAATTTCTTCAGCAACTTGGCTGATTAATCTAAAATCATGACTAACAAGCACCATGCCCCCCTCAAAGTCATTTACTGCCTCTGCCAAAGCATCAATTGTCTCCATATCTAAATGATTAGTAGGTTCATCAAGCAATAGTAAATGAGGGGCTTGCCAAGCCAACCAGGCAAATACAACCCTGCATCGTTGACCATCAGATAACTGGCGTATTGGACAGACTTGTTGTCTTCCTGTTAAACCATATCTTCCAATAATTTTTCGCATTTCTTCTTTTTCCTTGACATCAGGAAAGCATTTCATCATATAATCCAAAGGTGATAAATCCAAATCAAGGAGTTCATGCAAGTGTTGATGGTATCGTGCAATTCGAAGGTGAGAGTTTTTCCTAATCATACCTTCAGTAGGTACCAAATCGCCGTACAGCAGTTTTAATAAGGTACTTTTTCCAGCACCATTGGGGCCTACCAATGCTAATCTGGTATCTAGATCAATCCCAAATTCCAAGTTTTTATAAATCCAAGGTGAATTTTCATTGTACCTAAAGCTAACATTTTGTACCATGATGACTGGGGGAGGTATTTTGCCGCAACTTGGAAAATAAAATGTCACAATCTTGTCACTAATAACTTTTTCTGTTAAACCTTGAGCTACCATTTTTGCCAAAGTTTTTTCTTTAGATTGAGCCTGCCTTGCTAGCTTTGCAGAACCATGGCCAAATCTTGCAATGTAGTTTTTCATGTGATTAATTTGATCCTGTTCCCAGTTATATTGCTTCATTTGATTTTCTAACAGTTCCATACGAGTTCGAACAAATGCATCATAATTACCGGTGTAATACTTAAGCCTTTTTTTGTTGATGTGGATAATATTTGTGCAAACACCATTAAGAAAATCTTGAGAATGAGAAATTAACACAAGAATTCTTTTATAATGCTTTAACTCTTCTTCAAGCCACACACAAGCATCTAAATCCAAATGGTTTGTGGGCTCATCTAGCAACAGTAAATGTGGTTTTACATACAGAGCCCTAGCAAGGGCTACGCGCATTCGCCACCCTCCACTAAAATCCTTCGTCTTTCGATTTTGCATCTCCTTAGTAAATCCTAAACCATGGAGAATGTTTGCGGCTCTTGCTTCAGCTGTATCTGCTGAAATATCATCAAGGCGATCATATATATCCATAAGTTGCTCTTGAGATTCATCATCTTCACAAGCTACTAATTGTTCTGCTAGCTTTTCCAATCGAACTCTTTCCTCATCAACTTCCATTACACACTGTAGGGCTGTTTTATCAGAAGCTGGCATTTCACGTGTTAAGTGGAATATATCAATATGTTCAGGAATAGGAACTTCCCTGTTACCAAGAACAGCCAAAAGTGTTGATTTTCCACTACCATTTAAACCAATTAATCCATAACGTCTTCCACAATTCAATTCAAGCATTGCATCTTGTAACATTTCACTTCCATGAAAGGTTATAGAAAAATTATCAATTTTTATATCTCTTGATTTAGGGTGGACTGCTAATGAGCCTGTACAAGCTCTTGCTTCTGCATTCAGTCTCGCATCCGCTTCTAATTTTGCACAAAGTGCCTCTTCCGCGCTGAGCTCTTCAGATCCATTTTGTGTGCCGTTTGAAATCTCAGTTTTTCCGTTTTGTTCTTCACTTTTGGCAACTTTTTTCCCAGATTGCCGAGCTTTTGCAGCTTCTTTTTTGCGTTGTTGCTCGCGTTTTTTAGCGTCAGAAGGCATGGTAACAGATGACACAATCTTTTTAAGAAATCGAAAAATTCATTAAAATCGGACTGTTCGCTACTAAATCTGGCGAAGCAGAAAACGCGGTCCCTTCCCCACCACAGAAAACGTGTGCAATTTCACAGATTGTAACATCAACTCAATGAATAAATTTGACATCATTACCTTTTGGTAGGCAGCCCACAAAACATGTCTTGGTATCAAAAAATCGACTAGCTGTTCTCGTCTCGTCGAGAACCAAAGATTCGAAGGTAGGTAATCGCCATGCGTTGCATATTTCGGGTTAGTATTTAGGGGATAATGTTATATAATAGAAATTGTAATTTTAATAGAAATTTATTACATTAAAAGTTAAAATAAAATGAACATGTTTGAGTTGGCAAGATGACACCACTGGTATCGCCGAGTTCGTGCTAAACTGCTGAAATAATCGCCTGTGTAACTATCATCTGGTTATCGTGCTTGGTCTAGAACCGACCTGTGCAAAACTAGCATATTAGAAGCATTATAACATATTGAAATGAAATAAAAATAAATGCTTTGTGTTTACATTCATTGGTAGAGAAAAAATAAAAGCATAAAACAAATTGTATAATACCTGGAGTTTATAATTTGATTTTCATCGGTGCCGTGTATCGAAAAGGGTAAGAGAGGCTATTCTGTATAACCTAAATTAGGAAAAAAAAGTTCATTTTAACATATTCATAAAACTTACCCAATAGTTTCTCATTGAAAAGTATTGAGCTTTGTATTATATTTATAGCATTTTTTGTAATAAACTCCATATTGGATTTGTACAGTTTGAATAGATTCTTTTATTACCCTTTTAATAATGTATTACAAGTTACGCTTGTAGTTCCACAAAATTCGAAATACCAAAAATATATCTTTATATTTTGCTTTTTCAAATTTTGGAAAGGTGGCGAATCCCTTTGTCGTTAGAAATAAAAAAAAAAGACTCATTGTATTGCTTACATTAAAAATAATAATATTTAAATTGTATTTCGTAAATTATCTAGAACTTAAAAAACGAATAAAAGAAGTACAAATTTTAAAAAGTTTTTTGCAGATTTTGCTAAAATGTGATTTTCTGGGCTATTTTTTGATTGAAAGTGCAAATTGTTAGTAATTTGAAGTGTTTTTATGATGATATGATATGAGGTATATTTATAGTAACACATGTGAATAAAATTATTAACAACTTTTAAAAGTTTCTATCAAAAATGTCTTCTATTTTTTTTACTTGATTTTTGACGTGTTAATGAAACGCTTCAAAGGTAAATCGACTTATTCCAATGTAAAACATGAATAATTATATTACATTACACTTAATATGTGGATGGACCGGTCAGCAAAATGTTTGACAATTTTCAATTGTCAGAAAAATATAAGTTTCAATAGCAAGAAAATCAAAATATTTTAGATATTTGCCATATTTGTAAAGGGCATGGAAAAACTCATCGTTTCTATAATTGCGTCCCATACATTCTAATAGTGAGAGTTTTACAATTGCTAGTCCGGTATTTGGACGTTACCAAATAACATTAAAGAATTGTTAGAAGTATTACTGGAATTTTTCAATGTATAGAACTCGCTTCTGTTAAGTATTCGATTACGGACCTGTTGCAAGTCAAACCACTCACTTAGTACCCACTCTACCAGCTTTCAGTGGATACGATTCTTAAGTCACAAAGTCGAGAAATTGACGCGATTTCGGTTCTCCTGTGCGTTAAAATATCTTTTCGAGTTTTTTTATTTAATGCTACATCATCTATACAGCTTTTTAAATTATATCTCGATACAGATCGACAAGTATCCCTATGTTTCTACTGTTTTAAAGTTGGCCGTCATCGGAGTGTACGCGCTGTCACCTATACCAGTGTATCCAGTAAAGAAAACTATCAATAGAAAATTTTTGGAAATTTTAAATTACTTGCCGTGAACAATACGACGCGCGTCATAAAAGACATTGCGTTTATATACTTGAAATTTCTTGCAATCACTTTGGTTCTAAGCGTTCTAACTTACCTGTATATGGTGTACGTCTTAAAGGAAACTGATCTAGTTAAAAAAAAGTGACGGTGGGGTAGCAGTGTCGATTTAAGTGAAATGATCTGAAAAATTATTTTTTTTGGGTGTCGCAATTTTTTTAGCAGAAAAGGCTTGTCTGTGGGAGCGGTATTACCAAGGTAAGACGTAAGCTATGTTTTAATTTGAGAATAGAACAATAAAGATACTCACTAAAGTGAAAGGGTTAATTTTTCTATAAGTTTAAAGTTGAAAATCCGAAATTAGATTTTTTGCGACTCTGTTCCGGGAAATTAAATAATTAAACTTCGTTTTCTTTTGGTCAGTTCAGTATGGGGAGCTAAAAATGAGGATTTAATCTTTTTACATTGTGCCCCATGGAGCCATGCTACTTTTTGCTAGAAAGTAGCAAAACTTTCGCTGGGTTTAATTGGTAAACGGATACTAACAAACTCTAGGATAATAACAATAATTCAGGGACATGAAAGTTGATTAAGTGATTAACTATAGTTTAGATAAAACAGATTAATTTTCCTGCTTATAAGTCTCATCAAATTAGAACACCGAAATTATAATCGTGAGGATCTAAATGTATAATGGACTTGTCACTTTCTCTGTCAACTATCTGAAAGAAATAACCAGAACGATTATTTGCCGTCATCCCTAGAATTTGTCCAAGATTTTCCAAACTAAAACAAAAGAAGAATATTTGATGACAGTATGGTAGTAAATAAGGAGAAAGACAAGGTTTCGAATTCATTGTAGTGTTATTATTACTAACAATTTTAATTTACCCACGACAAGACATTCACATACAGTAGCACTTGTCACATATTCGAATTTCATTAAGTTAAACTTAAGTACGACAACTGTTACTAATATACATTATGTAATCATTTGCGCTATAATTTATCAAAACTTTGCGATACATATATAATAAGCAATTTAAGTATTTGACCTAGAATTTCATTATTCGTGACATTCGAAACATAGTCAACATTTTTCCGTATATAATACGGGGAGCTGAATGAATACCTCACATTCAAATTGCCTTTTACTTTCGTGAAACACTTTCGAAACCATAAATCTTACTTGTATTTGGCAACTTTAAATATTGTACACCTATTTAGCTACGTAATTTTGTTTACGTACTCTAATAAAATGCTTTTCTACGATATTTCGAAGAAATCGTATTTAGTTTTGATAAGTATATACGTATTTTTTGCCTCTCCCTTTAAATTCAAGCAAGTAGCAGGCTACATTCCGCGTTTGGTTCTCTGAAGCGGACAAAGGACATAACGAAATGAATTATTTATTATTATAGCTTTTGCATATTTATTTCGACGCAATTCAACGCTTTTTACCGACAAGCAATAAAAACATATACCTGCTGTAAAGGTCAACAACATTATTTTGAAATGATTTGATTAGACTTTAGGCCTTTTAAGGTACACGATAAGAAGCGAAAACATTTTTTTTACGTATTAATAATTCCACTATTCTTATTTTCTGGTTGACAATTTAAAGTAAATTTAAAAATTTGGAGATGTTTTCTAGACTCGTTTGAAAAATGAAATTTTAAGACGAAAATGTCTAAACCCTTAAATTATTTATTTATCTAATTATTTTTGTAAACATTTATAACTGAAATTAAATCGCCGATACAAAAGAAGTTTTTTTTCGTGAAAAGGAAAAAAAAACACGAAAAGAATTCAATAACAAAAAGAAGGATTTTTAATTAGTTAAATTTGTAACCTTTTCGCTGTTTTTTTCAGATGTTTCTTTGTAATGGGAGATCGATACACCGTTGTATAAACCATGAAACTATGTTCACGTCACAGAAAAATGCAATTATTTGAGCTGTACAAATTTAGAAAATAATGATTTCTCAACCGATTTGTTGTAACGTATGTTTTCCTAGATAAGCCTTTTCGATAACTGTTTTTGAAACCAATATAAACCTCCTCCAGGGTTACATAATGGTTACGAATAATACGAAGATGGCATCAACTTGCAAAATTTTGCAATCTCGAATTTTATAGACAATCGCTAATAATTTATGCATGTAAATATGATGCATTGTATTTAATTTGAATAGAAGAAAGCCGCATAGCTATGATGTTCAAGGTGTTCAATTTTCTATACTTTTGCATAGATGCATGCAGTTATTTAAGCACCTATTGTTGTTTGCTGTAGGTAGTCACACAAACTGAGTTCTTCATAAAAGCAGCGGCATTCTATGTTACATTTCCGACACTAAAATTTCCTAGATTTTTAGCCAAAAAAAAATCATAATAAGATTCGTGGCAACCGTTTAAACGAAGAAAGGAAAGGAAAAACTACAAAAATTGTGGTTTATTACTCTAATATCAATAACAGGTAAGACATATATTATCAATAAGCAGATACACCAGTTCGTGATTCTTCAATAGATCTAGCAGTCAAAACAGAGAAATTATAAATTTGAAATATATTTCTTTACAGAATTATATGCAGAAAGTTTCATTATTTTATACGAAATTCGCTTATTTTCATTCAAGTTCAATAGACATCTTACATTTTATAACATTTTATTACATGAAACTGAAATCACAGTTACATATTAGCGAAGTTAAAAATAATAAACCTCAAAACTATCAATTTTCTGACATTAAGCCACATACGACATTATATTTTTTAAATGGAACACCCTGTATATTATATATGTGTTTAATAGAATATAACATATTAAAAACATTAAAAATGACAAGACACACTAACGTAAAAAATTCTTTAACTATTTTTCATTAAGCATTTTCCTGAACACATTTCTCATGCACTCTAATTGTTGTTGTGATTATCTCTTAACTGATTGATTGCCTCTGAAATCTTTTGCCGACAACGAGTTCTTTATTTTACTTTATTTTTTTATGTGCCGCAAAAGAAAAAATCGGGCGGGGTTTTTGGCTGGCCAATCCATAGTTCGCCGTTTCCTATTCAACCCATGGGATATTCCATGTTAAGAATATTTTTAACCTGCACAACATTGTGATGAGGGGCACCGTCTTGCTCTTATATTATTAGCGTTGATGTATTTAGGGGTAAATCTTCTATATATTGTTCTGTTTGGTGCAAATAATGATTTCGAGTTGACTTTTGATCTATAAATATCGGACCCAAAATATGCCCACCTATGACACCACACCATTGATTGGTACCCCTGGGATTTTATTTCGTGTATTTGTCTAGGAGTATTTAAAAACCAATATCGCATATTTGGTCTATTACGACCCTTTCTTGTAGTGAACGAATTTTCATCAGTCCATAAAATGTTTTACAAAAAATTATTATTCTCATTATGAATCACTTTGAATTTGTTGTGCACTTAGTTTTTAAGTTTTACGAAGTTTAAATGCATCATATGTATATTCTTTCAAAACTAAGTGGATTGATCCCCGAAAAATATCTGTCTCTTCATATACTCTAGTAATACAGTGTGCTTCATAGAATCCTAAAACGTTTGCTTTATTTTCTTCATTTAAAATATTATGATTCCGGCATACCTTTTTAGCATTTAATACGTTACCGTTTTCTCCCAATTTCTTTGCCAGCCTTGGAAATGTCTGTTTTGTAGGAGTTCGGCGCTCCGGATAAAGTCTAATATACTGACGACGAGCTGGGATTGCACTTTTATTATTCAGAAAGTATACTGAAGCATATGACTCCTTCCACGGATGCAAAATTCGCGAAAAACCATTTTAACAATAATGGCTTCAACCATCAAAGTTGTTTACGAATATGTCAAACATAAACATATTTTTATTTGTAATAGGAATAAGATATTATTAAAAAATATATGATGTAGTCTTATATGTCAGAAAATTGATAGTGTTTTGTTTTATACGTCACCTAGAAAAAAACTTGGCTACTAACCCTAAATTTTGTTTACCTTGATATCACCAAAAACAAAAAAGTTACAGCCAATTAAAATGTTATCAAGATAAATTGAAAGCACGGTACATTTGTTTATATTATCGGTTTTCAACTGCCGCCTTCTAGTTTTGGATGCCCCCTAGGTTCATTTATCTCATTTATCTGGGCAATCTGAATTTAACAAAAAAATTCAATTTACGTAAATTTTGTAAAATACGTGTCAATTATTAAATATGTGTTAAGCATTTTATCTGAAGATTTATTTATATGGCAATTTGCAATTTATATACCGTAATATCAAACAAGTTGTTACTTTTTCTTTCTGTTGCTAAAATATCTATAAATATCAAAAACCCGTTTCTCGTCAGTGTTTGTTTTGTTGGTTTAAACCGTTCAATTCGCTTCTGCTGAGTTTATTCCGAGAGACGGGTTTGAAAATAGAAGAAGCTATTTTCAGGTATATTTTGCCAATATATTATAGGAAATAGATTATACTATACTATTATTATATTATACTATTACGTTTAGTTTATTATGTTGTTTGATATATAGTTTGAATTGAAATGCAAGCTTTAGGTATACCAAGTGACACAAAAAGCTGTGGGAAGTTTTAGCCTTAGATAGCTATAAAAATCTATAGATAAAAATATCTAATAGATTTTGTATATTTTTGAGAACAATGACAAACAAGTTTCCTAGAAATTTGATATTCTTAAAAAAATGCACTGGTTTACATCCACGAATACATCATACATCAATTTACACAACGTTTTCGATGCGACTATTGAACCTTTCTATATATAACATAATATTAATAAACAAAATATTATTTTCTCAAAAATAATGTTGCTCAAAATGTTTTGGGTCACTTTGTGATCGAACGTGGTGGAAAATAAAGCAAAAGCAGATCATACTAACCAAAAGTTTAAAATTTAAATTTCTAAATTCTAATTGAAATTCGTAGCCGGGGTTCATCCTCTGATCGTCTATTGAAGTCACTGCGAATCGCATACCCTTATGAAGAGTACCTTTTGAGAAGTGTTGCTGTTTTTTTTATTATTAAGAATCGGAATAAATGTGAGGACAACAAATTTTAAGAAAAATGATTTGCCACTTTTCCTAAAAGTAAACAACATCTATTATTTTTATTAACGGATTGCATCAAGGCTTCATATGTTCGTAGAATTCAGACTTTAACAATACACACCAACGCAAAATGATCGTTTGTATAACGTAAAAAAATTGTTGA